CCAGTTCAGGAGAACTATACCAAGAAAAATGGCACGAAACAGTTACCATGGCAATGCATTATAAATGATATTCTTCAGTCTGCATTGAGAGGGGATGCATCCATGGCAACACCAATAACTTGTTTTTAAAGCTCACCAATAACCCATTGGGTCAGAATTCAATTTACAGTGATATTCTGTAAATTCAGACCAAGAAGTTCCCTTATTCCAGATATTCATCAACATATGACAACCAATTACACAGATGAGATAGTAAAAGCATCAAACTGTACTCCATGTTGCATTTCAGGCACATACATCCAAATCACAGAGTAAAAAACACATTTAAGTAGCAAGAAGTGGAAAAAATGTAGAAAAAAATCTGACAAAAGACTGAATGAAACCTTGGCTTCCATAGTACCCTTTTGAAAACAATGAATCACTCACTAAAACCTGCAGCGTTGGAGAATGACCTGTTACATCTCCTTGATGTTGCAATAGGTGTGGCTCTGCATACCATATGATGCATTGCATTAAATGGATAAAACAAACATTCCAACTGTACAGCATCACGCAGAGCACTTAATATCTAATCGTGCTTTCTAGTAAGAACATCCAAAGTAAGAAACAGAGTGGGATAACAAGCCTTATTATTTTAATATGTAATCATAGATGGTTTGCAATTTAAAATTTTTTATAACTGAACGCTTAACTGCAAAAACACACTGTACTTCACTGACACACGAACTGTGGCACAGCTTCTGTACAGCCTTACGGTTCGCTGCACTCTTTAGTAGACATGGAAATTAGTCCTCAAGCCCTCATAAAACAGAATATTAACTACAGTTAAACCGCTATTCTAAAATCGTGCGACAGATATAACGCCTGTTTAATCGTTTATATAATATTTTTACACAACCCTTCCCAGGAAAGAAGTTCAACGTTATATCAAGTATTAGTCTTCCAAAATGAAAACTTCATCGCGGTTAAATAACAAGGAAAGAGAATGACAGTGATAGCCAAAACGCAATGGAAAATATCTATATTCGTTCTTTTACAGACCAACCAAGTTAGGTTTCTATCTATATTAAAAATTAAATAAATCCTTAACTAGGCAATTAGAATGCCAAATTATATCGAGCATGTCGATATTTTTTAGAAACGGAACCTCATCCAAAGCTTTATATGTAAGCGGGGGGTATTATTAGCAACCCAACCGAATGCACTAATAACCGCACACGTCCACTAAGCAACCCGCAGGCTTTCGCACGGCGACGTGCCGAACAGTGGTCACTCCCCGGCGGCGCCCCGCCGCACTGTGATACCGGCGGAACAGCCGGATGCTTTCACACTCAATCCAGGTAGATTACACAATTAGATCGGAATATACGTGATACGTAGCCGGCGAACAGCCGATTAGCCAGGCTAACGATGTAGCATGAGGCCTTTGGAGCTCAGAAAAATACACCGCCGTTTTTTTCAGATTAAGCCGCCAACGTAGACACGCAGAAACGTCAGTTCTTCCCTAACCGATTAAATTAGTTCAATTCAACAGCTGGGTTTACTAGACTTTTAAAACCCGCAGTGACCTGGGTATTAAACACAGCTGCACGCGAGCGTGCCTTAGCCGGCTAGCTAACGTTAGCGGAGTAAAAGTAAAACGCGGCCTCCTTACATTACGCAGGGGAGACCGTCGTATTTAAAATCGCGTGAAGGGAAAACGACCCAAACATGCGAACACGGCGCACGTTTTGCGAGCGCTTCGCAGCTCGTGGCGACTCCCCACCAGCACGCGACCAACCGGCTTTTTTTTAAACCTCCGACATTTGTAAACGGTAAACCGAACTGCAGGAACAAAACAAAATGGCGGCCAGTGGCCAGGCCATACTGCATTGACAACAAGCCGGTTGTACACCGAGTTATTACTACTACAACAACAAGATGTGGACGATACAGTGTAGTCTATACGCGTCCCCTCACCTTTCCCATTTATTTCAAACTCCTTTAAACCTACACCCTGTTCCAAAACAAATCAAAGCCCACCTCCCCGTTCCCTCCAGCCGACGTCTCACAGGCTATAGCTGAAGAGCAAGACCAATTTGTTAATTTATAAAGCACCGCAAAAAATGGGGCAAAAGCCACTCACCTGGCCTTATCCCGACTTGTCTCGAGGTTGCGTCGCAAATGGATAAAACAGCAAACTAGCTAGCTAGCTAGCTATAGCTCCCGCTGGCCAGCTAGCTAAAACCACCTATCCCGATTTGTTTTGTGGCTAGCTAACGTTAGCTTGCTAGCTATCCGAAAAGCACGAATAAAAATAAAGAAAATGTAATTTCATATAAAATCGGACAGGGGTTTATGGAGACGGATATACGTGGGGCGAATGGGTGGTACTCCCTTTTCCTTTTTTCCCCACAAAATAAATGAAAAAAGAAAAAGAAAATAATTACAGACAGAGGTCGATACGTCACTACAAGAGCCGTCAACGGCTACTGGCTACGGCAAAGCAGAAGGGGGTGGAGAGGAGGCGGAGTTAATTAACATAATACCTTCGTATCCTCCTCGCGGCCTATCGCGCAGCCTATTCGGCTTTGCTTCTTATTTGCATGCATTTCAATCACGCTCTGTGTACGTCGTTTGTAAAGGCCTTATTTCATAAACGCGATCCGGAGTATGATTTGGACCACTATACTGGGAATTTTCAACATGCGTTTTGTCTCAGGATTCGCTTAAATAACGGAACAATTAATATTTCCGGAGAGGCACCCGCAAGTACAGGCAGACTAAAAATAAACATGTTTGGCAGAATCAGGAGGACAGACATCTGAATTATTTCTAGCAGAACGTACAGTTGATATTTTGAAAGAAATAACGTCTTGATTAAGAAGTACGCCTAAGGTTGGAATAGCTCGGAAGCAACCCCAAGATACTCGATTAATATGAACCAGTTTTTTTTTTAGAGTATATTGAAGAGAATGACGGCAAAATAATTTTCACAAAATGTCTCAAGTATTGAGAAACGGTTTTAGAATTATAATTACCCTGCAGTGGCAATTAGGCTGCGGTAATAATTTAGGAAAGGTCTACAACTTTTTCTGCAACCACATACGACTTTTTATTCAGACTCTTTTACGTAAAATAATGACGTATTGTACGTAGTTGTGATAATCTCATGCAGAGGCATTTATCTCAAAATAATATTACTGAGGAATAATACGCCATCCGCATAGATTCTTTGGTGTGCAGTAGGTGTGGAGCAGCTTAATTTTACCAAAACCTGTGGGCAGTATGTAGAGTAAATGATCATATATGTTTGATTAAGCAGTGACAACTGGTGGCATTCATCGGTGTTATAACTTTTGATGCTATGCAGCTGGTAAGGCGAAAACAATGTTCCCAGCCTCAAAATTAAATTTCAAATGAAGTCTGAAGCCATAATTTTTTTAAAGTGATCACTAGGTGGCATTATTGTATAGACACAAATATGTTTATATTTGATTCTAATTCTATTCTTTCCTGTTACTTGGTTATTCTGTTCGGTGGTTGTTATGTTATTTTTAGCTGTGAACGCCACAGGGAAACTTGTCCAGACGACTGTTTAATAGCATCATTCGAACCAAAAGAAAGGCCTTCAGACCCATCGTACCCTTGCAAAGATCGCTGTTGCAGATGTCAATGTCACAGTTTTCATTTTGACACCCGCCTCTGTAACGTAAAACTATTTTAGCTTTCAAAGACGTTAAAATTAGAAGAGGACTTTTTAATCATTACGTCAGCTAAAGATATATGGGCTAATGCTTTAAATTCCACAGTCATTTTAAAAATGACGGGCAAGGATAGGGTTCATGTGTTTTATTTTTTAGACTATGTTAACAAGTCACCATGTCATTTTACATTCATGGATGAAAGGCAACGTAAAGGTTGTTTTTTTTTGTGTCAGGTCTGTATTTAAAAAACATTACGCCGCAGTCTTATTTGAGGGATTTTCTAAGTGACCCGTATTTGATTTTAGAACCGTTGCCATGGTGACATAAACTGTGACAGTATGTGTTGTGATGGAGATTCTGGGATATTAAGTTTACATCGTGGACCACATTTATAAACGTACCTCTTACTATCAGTTAACTAAGGTTTTCCCTAAAGCAGTCACGTAATATTAAGTTTTGTGTAATGATGATATTATTAAAATTATGAAGCTCACGAGTATTTTTTAACCTGGTAGTTGTAAGTTAGGAGTAATGCACATTTGGTTGAATTTAAGTTTGTCTATAATTTTTTAATTAATTGACGTTCTTATCTCCAATTATGTTTCATTATACCAAGAACGCAGGGTATCAACACTCCCCTCACTTAATGGAGAGAAGTAAAGTCTATATGAAAAAGGCAAACAAAAATATAAAAAGAAAACAGATGAGGAGGCTAATTGGTATTCTCTTACTTTCAGTATTCCTTATGCTCTTATGTTTATGTTCAAAAGAAACACTGACCAGAATGGCTTGAGATTTCATTGTTCCTACTAATTTAAATTATGGGTGTATCACATTTTTGGAATAGTCCGCTCAAGGGAGGTGTGCCTCTCATAGCAACATTGAACTGGATGCTCCAGAATAGGTTGTGACCGATGACATGGTACTAAACACCCCAAATCAATGGTGACGGATCCAAGCACAGAGCAAGGTGACACAAGATAACATATTACATTTTTCTAAAAATATTTGTGCTTTCTAGTGAAGAGCCATGTTGTTCCTGTTTGAAGAAGTTTTACTCAAGCAAGTGTATAACAGAAAAGTTGTTTGCATGAAGGTTTTCCCAGTAGGACTACAGCTATTCTGGCTTGTTATGTATTTTTTTACTATTATATTTGCTGTGTGGGGAAAATAAGTTTTTTTTTTTTTTTTTCTTTAAATCTGCCACAATGAAAACAAAAACAAGAAAATGAAATTAATAATGTGTGGACATTAAACAATAAAACAGCACATGAACATACATTCATTAATTTCTTTTTAATTAAACATCAGAAACTTTACAATATTTACATACAATGTTTAAGGATAACTGGAATTTTAAATAAACCTGGAAAAATGCAAAATTATTGCATCACGGTGATTTTTTATTACATTTAAAACCCGTAATAATGTCCACTTTGTGCACAGCACTGGCTCATCCGTGTGACAAACCCAGTTAAACAACCCACCACATGATTCCAGTTATTAATATTTCAATGGGTTTGATATTAGCTACAAAATAACTGAACACGTACATCCATTTCCCTTTATAGCACAATCAGACTTAAAATTCCCAAGCAATCCAAATCATTTGTTGAACCCAATTATATCTTGAAATTTGACTACCAAATTTCCATGTATTGACTACCATGGCAAACAATTTTTCTTTAATCTGTAGCTATAATTAAGGGAGTGTGACAGTAAATCCAGTATGTTACCCTAACACACTGCTTTATTATATTCAAAAAAGGATCAAAATAATATTGAAGGAAATGTTTGATTCCTTAGAGACTGAACTCCCACAACACACCAAAAACTGGAGAAGATATGAGCATCCACACTGCACATCTCCATAGACGATTAAATTTCACTGAACTTCATCGGGAATGCAAATTAAATTTAATTTTTTGCTTCAGAGAGAACCCAATATCCTTCCCAGCAGGCAAGCAAATGGTGGCTTACTTTGCAAATGCTCAGCTTAACTGGTTCAATTCATATCAATTTTAGTTTCGAATAGGTTTAATCCTAAGGTAAGTGACTTCATTTTTTACAGAGGGGAGATACAGGACAATTATGAATACAGATCCCACTTTACAATACATCTTTTTCGGGATCCATCTTTAATCATCTATTCTCAAGGTGGCTGACCGTTTTCCTCTAAACTTAAGTCAGACGGCAGCGGCTGAGAAAGGACATTTTTGAACAAATGTATGTGATAATTGGATGCAGGACAAAGAATGTTGATGGTGTTGCACCAGCCCTTGGCTTACTTCTCGATCCTGTCCACATGCCATCTATGGCACCTTGTCAACACAATCCTATGGTGACATCATGAGAAGTCCCACGTGAAATCCCAGAATCTAAAATCCAGGCCCATTTCATGGCTTGTGCTGTGCTGGCAACATGGATACTTTTACTTCAAAGAACAAACTGATATACATTTTCTTAAGAATCCACTATTCATATGGGGGAAAAAACTCAACGTTCCAGGACACGATTGTAGGATTTGCTGCCCCCAAGTGGTAGAATTCTACATGTAAAAGAAATCTGTGCTATGAATGGACCGAACAATCTTAAACAATTGTATACCAGTTTCTCAAAGCAAATTGAGAAGAGAAGAAACAAATATCATTGCACTGAAACAAGCACTTCTTTGAATCAAGTCTGATTTAAACTCATGGCTGACACCCCCCCCCCATTGTCCTTCAAGCCTCTTCCCATTCCTTCAAGCAGAAAATCCATCCATCCATTCTCTGTACCTGCTTGTCTTATGCAGGGACGTTGGGGGGCCTGAACCTATCCCAGAGATTACAGGTGCGAGGCAGAGAACAACCCAGGATGGGATGCCAACTCATTACAGGGCACAGCACACACCATTCAGTCACACACACTTATGGGCTATTTGGTAAAATATTGAAATTCTCAGAATGGTCTTTTGTTGGCAAAAACACTGCTGAGGGTTGACACCAGGGAACGCTGTCACCCAAACTACACAGATAACACTGAAAACTTTAGCAGTCTTTTCCTACCCCGCCGTCCCCCACCCCTCACTCACCCCCATTCCTTCCTAAATGCCCCCATACAAGTGGATCTTTGCAAAGGAGATCGTTTCGATGTAGTTCTTGTGTCCCTTCTCGTATACGAGGTAGATGAACTTCCTGTCCTCTGGGTGCGAGCCCGTCAGTGACGTCAGTGCCGAGTAGCCGCTCGGCCCAGGCCAGATCTGCACCACATCCTTCTCCCATGACGTGCCGTTGCTCAGAGACCACCGCAGCGTCAGGTTGATCCCTGCGAGAATGGGATGAGATTGGAAAGTAAGCCAGAGCAGGTTTACACCTGTAACCGTTTGGTCCCAGTTCCTTCCTTCCTTCCATCCATCCACCCATCCATCCATCCATCCAGTATAGAGTCATGGTAAGGTGGAAGCCTATTGCAATAAACAGGGCACACGGTAGGGGCACCATGGCGGGGATGGCAGTCAGTCGCAGGGCACACAAACCCACACACACACTAAGAATCACACAATACAGCCAATATAGAGAAGCCGATTAATCAATTAACACTCTTTTTGAATTGTAGGACAAAATACTCAAGACGCAGGTAGGACATGCAAGGATTTGAGCCCCCCAGCCGCAGAGTTGTGAGGCAACAGTGCTAACCACTAGGCCGCCCTCCTCCCTACCCATAAGCCTCTGCAGTATGGTGGCAACCGCCACCCCCAGAACACCGCTTACGCTCGTGATCGTTGGCAGGGTTGGTGAAGTACATGATGCCCTCCTTCTGCAGCGCCCCCGCTGCCACCACCGGGTCCACCAGCGTGTGGTCGAAGGTGAGCCCCTCCAGGGGCAGTGACTGGCCACCGTCCGTGCTGCGCACCACGATGCGGCAGCGGCAGTGGTAGTTGTACTGGTTGCGTACGTTGATGACGATGCTGCCGTCCTCCATCTCCACGGGCTGGGGGGCATCGTGGCGGGGGGGGGGGGTAGGAACAGGAAATCAACAAACTTAGCAAAAGAACCCTGAATTTGGTTACACAACAAAGGCGTGTAAATTAGGGAATTAAGTATTATGAGACATTTTAAACGATTTCTCATTTAGACATGAATTACACCAAGTGAGGCGGTGAATGAAATCCAATTAAAATTTACATTTTATTTATTTAGCAGATGCTTTTATTCAAAGCGAAGTATAATTGAAAAAGCCGGGTCAGCCAGTCCCCGGAGCAATTGGGGGGTTAAGGGCCTTGATCAAGGGCCCGTGGGATTTGAACCAGTGTCCTTCTGATCACAGGCAGCACGTCTAACCCACACACCACCCCAAATACATTGAGGCAGTCGAGAGCTTTCACTAGCTGAAAATGAGGACGTGCCGAAACCCTGGGAGGAGCTGAGCTGTGCGGAGTCAGACAGCCGTAGCCCTGCTGCTCACCTGACACTCGTCCGGGTTGAAGTCCAGTTCCAGCTTGTGCTGGTTGAACGGTATGCTCTTCAGGGCCGCACCGTTGGTCCACGTCTTGCCGTGGTCATCGCTGAGCACGCAGAAGACCCCGTCACCATCAATGGAGCCATGTCCACACACTACCAGCCGGCCCACTGCTGGGGGGTAGCGTTTCTGTGGAGGGCGGTGTAACCAACGCCAATATAACACCATTAAACACCTCACCTGACATAACCGTCCATCCATCACAGATTATTAGAGTACAGGATCACAGCGGGACTGGAGCCTATCCCAATAAACCGGGGCCACCATGGACAGGATGAAGTGATGCTTTATGTTCCATCAGCACTGGAATGCATGCTTTTGTATGTCTCATCTTGCTTCCCTTTCAGAAAAAAAGCTAAGAGCAAAGTTTGGTGACATTTATCTGGTGACCCTGGAACATTCTGCGAGGTTAAGAAACTCACTCAAGGGCCAGACAGAGATATAACTATTCTGCCAAGGCCTGGCCTCAAACCAGCGACCTTCTGATGATAGGCACAGAGTCTTATCCCGCTGAGCTACACACCACCTGCCAGTTCATCGCAGAGCATGTGCAGGCGCGCGCGCGCACACACACACACACACACACACACACACTACTGGCAACTCAGAGACAGCAATGCACATAACCGACTCTTGCAGGATTCGAACTCACAACCCTTGAGGTGCAAAGAAACGATGCTACCCACTGAGCCACCGCAGTCAGCATGCAGGCCAGACTCACCTGGATGCCATAGCCAGGCCCCGGCGCGAAGCTCTGCACCCCCAGCTGGACGGAGAGGTTTCGGGGCCGACCCCAGCTGAGCCCGTCGTCCACGCTCTCCACCAGCATGGTGCTGGATGGGCTGCAGTGGTAGCGATGGAAGCACAGCGAGTAGAGCAGCAGCACGGAGCCTGTGTCCTCGTCCACCACCACCGAGCCCAGGTTCAGGCCATCCTCCAGAATGCCGTCGTCCACGATGAAAGAGGTGGGAGACCAGGTGGCCCCTAAATGGGAGGTACAGGTGATCTGAGCTGCTTCCTATTTTAGCATCCTGGGGAAAAACACTACTATATCACAGACAGCAATCACGACAGGAGAAATGAGTAACAGACATGGAGTATTAAATTATCTCAGTTGCTGATTTGGTTGTGCATCATTACAAATCGATGCCGTCCGACGAAAACGGTCCCCTTTTTGGTGACTGAGACTTTTTACTAGAAAAAAAATCAGCAATTAAATAAAAAGCAAATTACAGACAATTCAGGTATTCGGGCTCCACTAATGATCTCAGTCAACTGGGTCCATTTAAGAGCAGCGCAATAGCGAAACGCTGCTTCACCATGTTTAGTCTTCACTTTAAGCAGAACTAAGTGACTCATTCCTAATGATCTGAGAAGTTTATGTGGCTCAAATCGCTGCAGCATATCAGGCCGATACTTGGGGCCGACACCAATAAGCGATTCAAAGACCAGTAATAATACTTTAGTCTATTCTGTAATGCACAGGTAGCCAGTGTAAGGATTTAAGACCAGGGCTGATGTGATCCCTTCTTTTAATCTGGTAGTTGCATTCTGAATCCAACTGAAGCTGTCTGATTGTTGTTTTGGTAATCCAGTTAAGAGACTGAGTAATAATTTCTGGTAGAAATAAAGATGTGGATGAGTTTCTCCAGGTCTAGTTTAGCCAGAAAACCTCCAATCTTGTTGTTATTGTTGACGAGATAAAATACTGATTAGTTGACTACTTTGACATGACTGCTGAAGCTGAGATCAGAGTCCATTAGTACACCAAGCTCAGTTGCTAATTCTTTCAATTTTCAGGCTCTCAAATCCGGATAAGCAGCTAATCTGTGCCTCTCATTGCTATTCCCGAATAAAATCATCTGTCCCATGCAGTTAGTCATGTGCTCAAAGCTTACAAAGTGAGTCAATGGGACTACAGTGGTTTGGAGAAAGGGGCAAGTAAGTATGATCTGCATAGTTGAGGAAATCCATTGCATAGTCTTGTATGATTTGGCCAAGAAGAAGCATAAATATATAGTATAAAAGACATAAAAGTGGCCCAAGAATCGACCCCCATGCCACACCACGTTATGGATGGAACTATGCAAGGAATATGCCCATTCTCTTCTGTCTACTGATAGCATTTAACTATAGACATCTAACTGACCCATGAAAAATGTTTTGTGAAGTCATCTGTTTAACTAGTACTTTTGTTTGTACAAGTTAACATTTATAATCATGATAGTTATTTGCATGGATTACTATCACATTTTAACAACTTAACACTGAAAGCTAGATAGCTAAATAACATTGTGAATTGTAAATGTAAAGCACAATAAGTCTGTCTTGTTGACACACATATTTGCCTCACCAACAACAATCCACTTTAGTCCATTTAAAAACAAACTGTTCGCTGACGACTGTGTAAAGACAGGTTTCTATTTGCTAAGGATGACTCATTATGTTGTTTGAAGTTTATTTTGTAAAATAATTTCTGAGAACATGCATATTTTCACCTCCTGAAAATACTGAAATTTTGGAGATATGTATTTTTTTATTGAACAGCAATTACATATTCACACTCTTTGGGGTTTGGGGCAGGAACAGTAGGTTTGTGCCTGAATTATACCACAAGAATAAATGACAAAATAAAGCCTATAACTAGAAAAAAAACAGCCTTACTGGCCCGGCATATCAGGAAATGGTCTGAACCAAAACATTAACCAGACAAATTTTAGAAGCGCGTTTACCAGCAATACCAACCAGTGGGATCTGCACACACCAGAGGTCAGGCAGGGCACCCTGTGCACTTAGGAACGCCCTAAGCATGATGCAGGATATACTGCTCAAACCTGTGTGAGAGGGCCGCACGCACCTCTGTCCGTGGAGCGCCTGACGGCGATGAACTTGGCCCCATAGTCACTCGAGGAGCCTTTCCTCGCCTCACTGAATGCCAGCAAGCTGCCCTTGAGTGTAAACGTGAGAATGGGGATCCTGTAAGTGTTCACCTGCCCCGCGCCGCCACTCACCCACAGCAACTGCTCATCATACACCAAGGGGTTAATCTAGAAAAGAAAGGAGAGCGATCATGAGGTCAGCTAACTCGCCCTTAAAAAAAAAAAAACACACAAACACCAAGACACTCTGTCAGATGGGCTATGTCTACTGCAGGGCAGGTCATTCCATGTAATCCAAATTACTTTTACGTAACCATTTTCAATTCTAATTAAATTTGGCAAGTGAATTACTCATTACCTTCCAGAGATTCTTCCCCACAACTGTCAAAAGAGCTTCTGCCAATAGAACTGCTCAATAGTACCTTACAGTATTAATTTTCTGACCGCCCGCCCTCCCGCAGAACTTGGAACCTCGACTTAACACTTTTTGTTTGCACTGACTGCTCATTTGTCTGCACTGGCTGTTCATTTTGCAGAATGCATCTCCAGTTTGCACTTGAATCATTGTGTCTTATAAAACACCAATCATTCCAAGTCTGCACCTTGAGGACAACCTCATGCATATTTTGCACAGAACCATAGTTTACATTTATAATTTATTTATACTTTGTGTTTCTATGTATTTTACTTTCACCTGGTTAGATGCTAACCGTAACTGTACTCAGCACAATGACGATGAAGTTGAATGTAATGTAATGTAATCTAATCTAATGTAATGTAACCTAATTCTACGCCGCAGGTAGCAAAAAAATGATTACTAGCAATCTTTTATGATCAGCTGCAACTTTTTTTACTACTATGGCTACATGGCCCAGCTACAGCTCACTGGAGGCCCAGCTACAGCTCACTGGAGGCCCAGCTACAGCTCACTGGAAAGCTCAGAAAGTTTTTCCCAAATTCAGTCTTTTGCACAGATCAGGCTGCTTTTTGCAAGGTTCAAGTTCATCTTGCAAGTTACATTTTTAACTACTTTTGGTTTATTCAAAAATAAGTGAATAGGAGGGAGTAACAAGTCACTTTTATGATGAAATGCATATATAAGTTTACTACTTGTATGTAAAACATTAACCTGTTACTTCCCTTCATGAGATAACCAGCCCCAAGTGTAATTTTAATGCTATTTCTGAGCATCAGAGAAGGCATGTTAGGGGGGGGGGGGGGGGGAGGATCAGTCTTTATTTACTGCATTGGGAAGAAAGTGTTTCCTTATCTGCTTTAGAATAAAAAAATGTTTTCGTTAATGAAACGGGTGAAGGGGCTACAAGACTCTGAACTTACAAACAAATAAAATACTGAAACTACACACTAAACTCACTCTCTTTTAATTCACTTATTTCACAAAATTACCCTAAGGTTTGTATAGTGTTTTTGGGGACTTTTCAGAACTTCTCTTTTCCTTTGTCTCGAAAGTCCAGGCATACCATTGGTTAAATTTGCAGGCCATTTTACATTCATTTATTGTCTACTGAAAAAGAGAAGAGGAGATGCAAACCCCAGGTTTCTGTTCCATTAGTGACTGTCTAGATCACAGCACCACATTCTGTGCCTTTGAAGAAATTCTCATTCTTAAGCTGAGGTCAGTTCATCCCAGGTTTACCAAAATAGTTCATTTTTCAAATGGTTTGGCCACACAAAAAACAGTATAAACAAAGGCACAACAGGCCAGGAAGTCTGAGTTATAATAATATATTATTTAAATAGTTACTTTAAAGACATGCCTCAGAAAGCCTGTAATGGGTGTTGAGTTACAACATAATTATGATAGAGAGCTTCCTTTGTGCTTCTGACCATATATTTAAGGTCTGTTTATTATCCAAGACTCTAATGCATTAGCAAGTATAAGAAAATAAGTATCTAAAAATAAATGTGGCGTAGTGTCCAGGAAGGTACAGTAACTTTGACAGGAGGCATTAAAATTTACGATACAATAAAACAGCATGTGATAGAATTTCTCTGAAACTGCTAGAGACTAGAGTAAAATAACATTATTTTTACTTCCTTAGCCAGGAACCTATCGCAGGAAGCATAGGGCACAAGGCAAGGAGGCATCCTCAATGGTACATCGGTCCATTGCACGGCACAGACTGACGCACACTATGAGCAATTCAAAGGCACCAGTTAACCTAAACGGATGTCTTTGGATTATAGAAGAAAACCAGGGTGTCAAAAGGAAATCCACACAACGCGGGAAGCCACACTTTAAAATGCCACCCTCGCTTCGATAATAATTACCAGCAAACAAACCGACATTGCACAGGGCTCTCCAAGTCTTTCAATATAATACTGTTTCTCATATATTAGAACATGATTTCCTACTAAACACATCAAAATTCAAAAAGAACTGGTTAATTAGAAACCATCAGACAGGAGACTCGAGGTGCTTAAACATAGCAGGCATGTGCTAATAAATCAGAAAACATGCATTCAACAAAGTACCGAAGGTAAATGATGAATAAATACCTAGATCAAAATGGCATACCACTATAAAGAAAATCCATAAATGTGTACTTTACCTGGTTGTACGCAACACACAAATTTGGAGTACCCAAAAACCAGAACACGATCAAAACCCCGGCAGGTAATGTTATTAAGATTTCTTCAAACCTTTTCAAAACACTCATCTTCCGGTTTATCGTCGCTGAAAAAAAGACAAAAGAATAGTTAACGTAAAAACAAAAACAAAAAGGAAGTAGCCGACAATACTGTACTGAACTACACTTAAGCGGCAACCGTACAGTGTACTCACATGATCAAAAACCACTTTGTCACGTGGTTCGAGATGGTCACGTGATCCATCATATGATGCTCGGAAACTGCTGCCATGTTGGCTCTGAAGATTCAATTCCGAGATATGGCAAAAGAGACATAATGTCGACTGAAACTATTCCTTAGCCTACGTTATAGCACTATGGTGGCTCAGGCAGGTGCGCTGCTGCCTCACCTTTATTGTTTATCTATTTTGTATTTTCTCCCTGTGTTGTGTGGTCTTCCACAGACATGCAGGAATGCTGACTGGCGTTTCTACATTACCCGTGGTGGTGACGTGATGAAAGGGCACATCCCTGTGGTGTGTGATGAACTGACATCTGGTCCAGTGTGTACCCCAGCCATGTGCAACATATCGAATTAATATTGTTTTTTGACACAGAAATGGAAAATACACCCACAGAAAATCAGTACGAGTAGACTGAATTGACTAAAATTAAGCTACAGTTCAAGGGTTACTCCTGGTTGAATATTGACTTTATGGGTAGAATTATAACCCCATACTCACAAGTTTAGTGGGTCAAATCCTGCCCTTTCTCTGTGTGGAGTCTGTCTGTGCTCTACATGTTTGTGCAGGTCTCCTCCTGCAGTCTAAAGACATATGATTAAGCAAATGGCTGTGAATAGACCAGCGTGTTCCCATATGTGTGCTGATTCCTGGAATAGGCGACCCTGTACTGGATAAACAGTTGGATGGATAGTTTCCGTTCTATTTTCTTTGTTGTGTGAAACATTCCTGATATGCTGAAAGTGATTAGCAAATGTGACCAGAACACACACTATGGCCTATCAGAAAAGGGTACAGCGCTGGTAGTTTTGTTACTCAAGGTATAAACAACATTCACATGTACTGCTAATGGTACAAAATATTCATCAGAGTGAATTTCTGCACCTTACATTAGACTAAAAGGTACATTTACCTACAGTTAGGGTACAATTGGCAGACCCTTGAGGGTACAGCCCCAGTTACAAGTACTATAATCGTACCCTCAAAGGTATAAACTGGTAATTTTTTCCCTCACAGTACAGCTTTGGGAAGTACGTTTTCCTTTACATAATAATGCTTGCTTCAATCAGACTATATAATAATATATATATCGTAAATGCACTGTGCCAGCCTTATTTTTATACAACATAAAATCGAAAGAGTAGCCACTGAATCCAACGTTATCAATGTAATACAAATAAACTTAGCTAGCGACTGTCTCCATTATTGTTTATTTCAGTTTGACGTTCCTGTCAAAAGCAGGAAACACGTACGTCATACTTAAAACGGGGAATGCTTAATTAAAATCCATTCAATTGTATTATTCTTTGAAAAGTAATTATTACATTTAATGTAATGAAAATGATTAATGTAATTGTCTAATATATTTCTGAAAGATACTATTCCTACGACTGTGAATTTGTGGCTATATATACAATGTGGCTTTGAGGTGGCATGGAATTAGAACAGAAACAGATCGAGAGGCGTCTTGAATAACTACAAAACACACATTGCATGCGTAAATTTTACTCCATGCGGTTTTTCTGAGTAAGAAAAAAAAAATATATATATATAAATATATAAACATTGATAAAAACATTTAAGTATAAAATGTCATTAACAATTAAGGACTGTTAATAAAGTACCCACATCGGTGGCGGTAAAGTAGTTTTAATTCTCTGAAAAAAAACCTGTTTAAAGATTTCTTTCAGGAGTATAAAGCTGCCTGGCGTTAAAATGAAAGAATTGAAGAAATGTCCACTGTGGCGTTTCACAGGACTGTGCTGCTGAACATCTTTGGTTTTGCAACTCTGTGGTTTGTGTGTGTGTGTGCGCGCGCGCGCCCAGGAGGGGGGGGGGATTGGGGAGAGAACGAAGAGGGGGAGAGTTATACGTGTAAGGAGCCGCAGTGTGTACACGCCGAACTCCGAGGAGGCTTGACTGGCGTATACTGCTCCGTGACCGCATCGGTGCCGGTCCCCACACTCACAGACGCTGCGCTTGAGAGGACTGCGATCGTACAGTATGTCGCGGAGGACAAGTCGACGCTTGACGAATAGGTAAGGGCGAAGAAAGACCCTGTATGTGTGTGCGTACCCGCGGTGTGTTCTGTTTACAGTTCCTGTGCGATCCTGGCTCCAGCAATATGACTGCGACAAACACAGAAGCTACTGCAGGTTATTATTATGGACAGGACACTATGCTTAGTCTTGAATCTGTATAAGAGGCACACAATGCGGATATAGACAGGAGCCCAAGTGACAGCAGATGCTCTTAAGAGTCACAGTGTGAGAACAATTCCGGTAAGACGAACACTGTTGCATTCTCTTCCAGATCGGCTTAAAAACGACATTCTTCCAGTCATGTGGTGAAGTTAATTCAAGTCACAAGTTGAGAGAGAGAGTGCTTGAAGTGATATATTACACACACTAATACTAGAGGAGAAGGTTTAAGAGGACACACTGCAACAGTTTATTGTACAGTTTTTTTTCCGGATAATTCAAGGCTTTCTTATGCACATACAGAGGGATAAATGTATGCTCACCTTTACACACCTTCCTGTAAACCACGTTCTCTGATGAGGACATTGAGATACAAAGCTTACATTTCAACACAGAGAGTTTAGAAACAGGGTATGTGCTTATTCTGACTGCTTTTCTGTCCCTGATCTCCCAACAGCTGTTGTCAGGCCGTCATAAAAAGGTGAAATGTTCACACTCTGCACCATGTGCCAATGGATGTTTCACTTTCCTTTAGAAAAAAGTAACAGACAAAGTGGAAGTGAAAACAGAGGTTTTAGATAGGGGGGGGGGTGTTTAAAGAGGAAGTGTTAAATATACCATACAAGACATGTTGACAGGATTTTCAGACTTTAATGGCCTCACTTGCATAGAAAAACGTGAGGGTTTGAAGCATACAGACAGCAACGATAAGAGAATGTCCCAAAATGACATAATTTTCAGCTTTTTGACTTAGAGAAGAGAAAAGGTTTGGTAATTTCCCAGTTTTGGTATGTATGGCTGCTGCAGGCCAACGGAGCTGGAAACAGCTGGGATTGTTTTTATAGTATTGTGTCTTTTATAGGAAAAGCTCAACATTCATTTATGTCCTGCAGTTTTGCTGTGTGAGATGGGACAACAAAATGAAAAAAAAGACTGCTGTGTTTGGGACGTCACTTTGCAGCAGAGACAATAAGCAGAGCAAAGGTCCATGGCAACAATCAAATCACAAAAATGAACATTAAGATTAACAAAGAATCGTGTCCCTGTCGTTCCCTCAGAAACCAAAAAAAATGAGTGTTTGTGCGTACGTCTAATAGTTTTTGAAATTTTAAGATTGCAAAGGGTATCCAGTTAGGTAAAGCAGAACAATAACCAATTGCATCTGCTCTCTTCTAAATTCTCTTCTTCATTTTTCATCCCCAAGGGCTGGACATCTCGCATAAGTGGGCATGTGCAGTTGCCATAGACACAATCGGATCCCAGATTAAAGAGAACGGGACTTGTGTTTACCACACAAAGACTCCTGTTACATTCACTAAGGAATGTATTAGTATTAGATGGTAAATTTCTATGTAATCAATACACGTGTAACCTTGGACCTTTTCATTTTGGTAGATTAGCATGATAGATTTTGCTGCTGCTTTGCTTTTGTTTAATATGGGTAAAAATAGCTAATGGCTGTTAGTGCAAGTGTATCCTGTGACTGATAAAATGAACAGATTGTGGTTTCTCTGCCTACAAGAGTGTAATGATTGGCATGAATGCCACACCCTGGCATTGCACAATATTAATGCCTGAATTTCCAGTCATCCTGGCTATTGCCACATTCTGCTTGCATTGAATTTTACTGAGGCAGGTGGAATGGTATGACGACCCAGGATTGCAGACTTGAAACCCGGCTCTGCTGTGTGTGTTTGTGGAGTTTGCGTGTTCTCTCCATGTTTGTGTGGCTATGTGTTTGTCTGTAAAGGATGCTCCCCATTAATCTGTACCAGATGTGCAATAGGGAGATGGAAGCTTTTGCACATGGGTTCAGTCTAACCACATCTAACACATATGGCTTTATCGAACCTTTAAGTCATATGACTGGATCATATGTATTGAAATATTTTTCCACATATTTCACTTTTAATATAGTAAATTGTTCCTTGGTTCACAGAATATCGTAGTTTCTGGCATCCAGAGCAGAATAACTGGACGCCAAAATGGTGCTGTCACCTGGAAAGGGGGAGCATGACGACATGAGTGCTGAGGTCCGTTCTGGGCGGGTGACGATCCAATCAGAGAGTGACGGGGATTATCGAGGCGACAACGGTAATCCGCCAAGCTGCCTGCCTCTCGGGGTGGCCGCATCCACGGGCTCCGCAAACCCTCAGGCTTCCGTTTGCTCCCTCTGCAGGCCGCTGCCTCTGGGCCGAGGCCAGCTCCTCGTTGTGCAGTCCTGCATTCGATTTGACGTGCTGCAGAGCCCAGCTGGAGAGGACTGGCTTCCAGGTGCGCTGCGCAGTACTCACCAGCCCGTCTAGTGCAAAGAGGAGCACAGATCCATCACTGTGTCCTCATTCCCATGATGCCTCAAGCGTGTTAATGGCCGGGCCTCTTCTCCAGCAGGAGGCCTGTATATGTATTAGGCTGGATCCATTATTTTGAGTTTCTCAGGTAAGAGTGTCAGGGAGAGTCTAAGATTCAGCCCTTTCAATTGGGATGGCAGCTGAGCTGGGTGTGGGGGGTGGGCGACGAGGTGAGAATCAGACGATTAAATTAACGGGGGGTGGGCAGAGTAACTGACAATTAAATTCATAGGGGGGAGGGCTCAATGATGTCCATGAAAATATGGGAATATGGATTTAGAAAAAATATATTCCAGTGGAAGGGGGGGGGGGACAGTGCAGTGGTGCAGTGGTTTTACTGCTGGGTTCAAGATCCTACCATGCCATCATTGGGTTTTCTCTGAGTACCCCAAGTGAGTGAGTGCGCCCTCTCCTGGGTTGTTCCCTGTCTTGCACCGATAGGTTCCAACTAGAGCCCTGCGCGGGACTATTTTTTAAATCCCGCTCCCGCCCACTCCCGCTGAATTTCTGACAATTCCCGCCCAATCCCGCCCGCTGTCTCTGTCACTCCCGCCCACGACAATCTAAAACCCGCCCAATCCCGTGAGATTTGCGTTGGGTCCCGCGGGATCCGCCGGACCCCGCTCCCAATGCAGGGCTCTACCTGGGAGTACAGCAACGGGGCAGGTGTGTCGCCTCAATCCTGAAGTGCCAGATTTGTGCCCGTTGTACATTATCGCTTTGCCGCACTTCACACAACACACAAAGTTCAGCTCTTTACCCTCTTTGTTTGTTACAATTTTAAAGTTTTTCCATATCTCCGATTTCCCCAAT